ACGCTTTTATCACAATAATACTAGTATTTTTTGTTCATAATTATTTTAAAAATTATTTTTAACTTTTTAGTTCGATGTGCTTTAAAAGCGTGTTTTTTTAGTTTTTTAAACTATATTTATTATTGTATTCATATAACATGTTACATAAGATCTTACTTTTGCTACTTACTATAAAAACACAACATAATAACAAAATAAAGTTAGTTAAACATACATAAAACTCCAAATAATACCTAGTTACCAAATTGCTAGATTATTTCAGCAATAAAATAAAAACAATAAAAATAGTCAGATCTATTATATCGGTGGTTCTAAAAAGTGTATATTGGGGGGACCTGCTCTCGGTTTTTTGTTGTATTTATATCATATCATATCATATCATATCATATGGTTAAAAAATATTTATTTAAAAATTGTCCATTGGATACGGTTCAAATTAATGAGATGTGCAATTAATAATTAAAGTCTTAATTCAACAGATGAATAAGTTTTCAAGTGTAATTGAAAAATAACAATTAATAACTGTCAATTAGTTAAAAGAACTTCCGTTACGATGTGTATTCGGCAGCAGGTACGTAGCCAGAAAATGTTTATTGGAGGGGCCAACAATTTTGGGTCCTTGTATCATTTTCCATAATATGTTTCCTATGAAAAGTTTGTAGGGGGGGTCCCTCCACTCCTCCTGAGACAGTATCCCATTCTATAAATCTTACAAGTTCAAAATTTGTGTTTATTTTTAAAAAATTGGTAGATTATTCCAAAAGTTACATAATCTGCTATTTCCTTATTAATATCCTGATTAAGATAAAGTATGTCGAATGAAAAAGGGATTATTAAAAAATATTATTTCTCATAAAAAAATTGTGCTGATCCATACATTTTTCAAAAAGTTATAGCATTATAAAGTTAGAAATGTAAAATATAAAATCGAGAATTTTAACACAAAAATAGCATACGGTAGCCATTTTCACCGTGAAGACAAAGTAAAGTCCGAAATTTTTTTTTTCCATAATAAAGTATATTACATTGGCTTTAATTTAAAATATATATATAAGTGTCAGTATTTCCGGAACACTTTCAAAAATTAAGTTGAAAAAGTAAATATTTTATAAAAAAGTTGTCACTTTGAATCCCCCCCTGTGGGCTGGTAAAGGGTTAAATTTATAAAAAAAATATACTAAATGATAGGTAAAGATATCAAGCATCTATAAAAAAAAATTATATTGATATGTTAATTTTTAAAAAAGTTATGGCAGTTTTTTGTAAAAATAATTAAAAAAACTTCGAAAATTAGCGATTTTTTAGGGGGGTTTCCCCATTTACGGGGAACGAGGGAAATTTTTTCAATTTTTGAGGGTAATGTGTTCGACTAGATACGATTTGATCTTTTGACGTATCGTTGAAAGAAATCGGTCCGGTGAGAGCTGAGAAAAAGTGGTAACAGACACAAAAAAAACACATCATAGTAAAAATAATACCTTCTCAGCTTTGCATCGAAGCTAATAAAATGATGATGTGAACAAAAGCTGATTTAATTTTTCAACTTTTAAGCTATTAAGAAAAAATAATTTATTCCTAATTACTAATAACAAATAAGTTAAAAAAAATTTTAAAAGAAATATAAATTATAAACAATGTAACATTTATTTTATTTAAAATTAAAAACAATTCCTGCCTTTATTTAGTCATATTTTTATTACTATTATTTAAAGCACGCAATTAACAAATTAACAAAAACAAATAAATTTCCTATTGTAACTACTAAATTATAAAAAAAGAAACAAATTAAAGATATGATTTATCAAAAAATTTTTCATAGAGTATACTCTATCGAATTTTGTAATCAACTAGATTCTAATCAATGCAGATACTTGGTAGTTTGTTATCATTTGTTAGACCAGAGTTAAAAAAAATTTACCTACAACCACGTTTGGAGTAATTGCTATTCCATTTATTATTACGTCTAGAACGTTATCTTTTTCAAATAACGTTTTCTATGAATATAAAAATGAAAATACAGCCATAATAATAACTGTATTACTCAATAGTAATCACAAATTAATAATAATTTCAATGTATATAAGGCCTAGCACGTTTTTTATAATTCGTAAAAATAATTGAATTTTAAATTTAGGGGGGGCCGGTCCTGGGCCACAATAAATCTAAGGGGGGCCAGGGCCACCCTTGTCTATGTGCCTGTTCGGCAGTACTGTTGAAAAGAATTTGACGAACCTTAATCGATTTTTTTCGGTCAATTGGATCGATAATATTGTTTTCCTGTATAATAAGTTACATAAACTGTATAAATCAACTAATAACTTATTGCATTATAATGAATTCAAATTAATAAAGAAAAAATGCAAATTACTTTCGAAGTTTTGTTATGGTAGCTACTTTGAAAAATTACAAATGTCATTAACTAGCAATCATAAATCTTTTTGGAAATTTGTAAAAAATAATACGAACAATATTCCTAATAATGTTACTACTAATGGTAATATTTCTAGTAATAATATGTCTGATGTAAATATATTTATATCACATTTTGAGTCAGTTTACATTCCTTCTGGTGTTAATAAAAAGCTTGTTCCGTATTTTTATTTCTAATATTAGTTTTATCTACTGTGATTTTACGGTTATTGAAATATTTGAGTCTTTATGTGCTTTATCAAATGATACTAAGAGTGGTCCTGATCTAATCCTAGAAATAGTTTACCATAACTCTTATTTCTTACTTACTCGTCCAATTCAATTTATATTTAACTTATCACTTTCTACTGATACTTATCCATATTTATGGAAAACTAGCTATGTATATCCCATTTATAAATCAAGTAATCGTTATGATGTAAAAAATTATCATCCTATTTCCAAAGGCGTAAAGCATTTGAGTAAATGTATTTGAATAAAAGTATTCAAATACTTTCATTGGTATTGAATAGTATTTTTAAATACATTTAATAAAAAGTATCTGAGTAGTATTTTAAATACAATTATTTAGTATTTAATACTGTTTAATATTCAGTACTATTAATATACTTTTTTTTTCTAATTTGCTAACCGTAACACAGCAAGCAAATTAAACTCAGTCAAAATGAAAATTGAGAATAATTCTCTGTTATTTTATATGTTACATTATAGTATAACATAATTATTGTGCTTATCTAAATGCTATTATGTATACATCTATTTTTAATACATCAGTTGAACCTACAATAGCCTATTGCAGGTTCAAATGATTTACTCTATTGTCAATAAGACATACTTTACAGGTTTTTACACGTGTACTAATATTTATTTTTTTCACTGATTAGTCTCCAATAATTAATTTTATTTACCTCTAACAAAAAATATCGAAAATAATAAATGAGTTCTCTTAATTTAAGAGTACTCAATATTTGACTCAAATTACCCTCTTGGTAATTATTTAGGTGGAACCTTTTGCTCTTAGTTAAAATAAAAACATTATTACTATTTTTTAATTGTATTCTTAGTATTTGAAATACTTTTGTAAAGTAATTGAGTATTACTCAAATACTTTTGTATGAAAAGTATTCAAATAGTATTTTAAATACATTTTTTTTTAAATATTTGAGTATTATTTAAAATACTTTTTAAAAGTATTTTTTAC